GGCACGAGTGCCAGTGGTGATGAGACCGTGCAAGCCGATATCCAGGGATGCTGGTAACCGAAATCCAAGTAATCAAGCCGGGGTCAAATCCAATCGAGCAATCACAGTACAGAGGGGTCAGGCAAAATCAAAGTCCAGTAATCAAATCCGAGGTCGGTGGCAGGCAGCGAGCAAGAATAGTCAGGTCCAATCCGGGTCAAAGCAAGGCAAGAAGAATATCACAGGAATACAGGAACACGGAAGAGCTGAAAGAGAATCCAGCAATATGGTGGTGCTCGAGCCGGGTTTATATTGGGGAAGTAGTTAGGTTGATGTGTCACTTCCTTTGCGTCATTTTGGCGCGCTTTTGCACGGCTGGAGGTGATCATCTGCGCATGCGTGGAATAGCTTGTTTCTTGCTAGTACGGCAATGCGCACTTGGCGCATGCGCAGTTACAGGGGATCTCTTACAGTAGCAGTCAGCACATTTAACACTTTTATACCAATGTCCTTCCTACACGTCTGTCCTAGCTGGCTGAGACTTTTTTTTTCTTTTATATGTTTCTAACTGCAGATAAAGCACAGTGCAGGCACCAAAATGTACTTAACTCCCTAAACATCTTCTCATTTTTGAAAGTAGAGATGCTGTAGAATTAAAAGGTAGGATCCCTAGTTGCTAATGTCCCATTTCACTCCAGCAGATATTTGTCAAACCTCTATTTTAATAGAAATTGGTCTAGCGGTCAGTGTGCACAAATATAAGCTATAAAATCACCCAGCCTCCAGTTTACACAGGATTCAGTGTGTAAATGCCAACGTGAAGAGCAGTGTGTACAGAGAGCATTTATAAAACATTCAGCAATCTTTGAGCAGCTTCATGAAAGTCATTAAAGCCCCCATTGAGATTTAGTCTTTTCTGAAACTGTTAAATCATGTTTTTTGGGAGTTCTAGCTATATCAGATTTTAACAGGCATTTAGCACTGCTTCAAGCCTACTGAAAGCCTCCTGAGGCCCGATGACCCCTCTGAATAGCATGTACTACTGTTTCTGTATCATGTACCCCTGGCATTAAGCTTTGTGAGCCACACACCTATGTATGGTGGAATTAGGAGGATTGCTAATGCATTCTTTTTTTTTTTTTTATTTAATTAATTTTCTTTACTCTCCTGCATATTTACATGTGGATTTGTGTTATCTGAAAAGAGTCGCACTGTGCAATCTGGGCAATCATGATTGTAAAATAAAGTATTTGTGCATATGTTGTAAGGAATATAATAATATCAAACTTCTCCATTACCCTGGTTTGCAAACCAATTGGTCCATCACTACTTGTGACAGCAGGTATTAACCTTCATTGACATCTGTTGCCAGCTGTCTAAAACCTTAAAGTAAAGCTCTGGGTGAAATTTTTCTTAACACTGGCAGTGGGGCTACCCCCACACTGCAATGATTAAGTTCTCCTTTTTCTCTAGGTTAAAAAATAGTTATACTCACCTGATCCTCGGAGACGCCTTCCTCTTAGACTGGTGCATTCTGCCTTGCTCCCCCTATGCTGCAGCACTATAAGGTTCCTGAGTCATCACACTCTATACACAGTGTGTAGGACTTGAGGACGCTGAGGGACATACCATCCCTGCAGCAGAGGAGAAGACGGGCAGGAGGGAGCACCTTCACAGCCAGCCAGCTCCAAGGATCAGGTGAGAATATCTTTTATTTTTGAACTCAAAAACAAGCACTTAACCCTTGCAGTACGGGTGTAGCCCCACTGTTATGCGGCATGAAACGCACCCTGTGATTCAGTGGACACAAAAAGTAACTACCTTTTGTGTTTACATATGTTCAGGTCTACCCTGTGCAATGCAGAATCCTCCTTGCCCTAAGATGGGGCTAAATCTCTCCATCAAAGCATTTTTATTGAGTGATATAATGGCGAAATCACATTTCTCCTTTCTATAAAATTCCTTGTGCTCGCTACTTGCTTTAGAGCCATAGCAGAAAGTAGTAAATTTCGTAACCCACTTACATACTTTATGAAGAGCTGTGACCTGAAGCACCTAGATTGCATTAACCCCACTCAATCCTGCTATAGAATTCCTGGAATAAATAACAGCATCTTATGAGTCAAGTTTTGTATTTTTTTTTTCTAGCATTGTTGTATGCATATATTGCAAAGCAACATAAATGGTAGAGTGCATCATTGACAGACATACCCTCTGTGTTCCTTTTTCAATAACACTGTTCTGGTGGTCTAGTTATATTGTGTATTCATTAAATTGATTCCCAGTAGGAGTGAATGAGTTAATTAAATTGTAATGCTGTCACACTGCAAAGATATATACTTAATCTCTGCTTGTCCTCTGCAGCACTTGTGCGCCTTTCCCCTGAGAGCCATTCATCCAGCAGATGGTTTGAAAGCCAGGACTAACCGTCCTGAGCCTAATGAGAAAAGACAGTGTAGCTCTAATAGCATACCTTGAATCATTTACTATGCTTCAGCATTGCATTTATGTATATTACCCTAGTTATATCTTTATAAATATCCTTTTTCTTACTGTTAGTAGCTTGTTAAAAGATAACTGGTTTTGTAGAATCAATCTCAATGTTTCACACTTTTTCTTATATTTGTTCAATTTAATATCATATTATGGTTTGTGATCCACTGTTTAGGGCATGTGTTAACAAGCTACTGTCATAGGATTTAAAGAAAAATCAATATCTTTTTTAAAAAGTAAGAAAGGCATTTTATTATAGTTAAGGAAAGGTGCCAGTGAAGACTACATCACCTGCAGACTGCCTATTCTACTGATATGAATACAACTGTTTTCTTTATTTTGTGGTAATCTCTAAATATCTTTTATCTGGAGTAAAAGCTACAATAGTGTTTGGTTAATTTAATTGTTTTTAGCTTGTAAACTATATATATAAAATTTGATTTACAAACAACCCTTTAAATGACAATAGATACCAGAGCAGTATGGGTAGCAGTCTGCCTCCTGACTGACTTTGACTGAAAGTTTTGATTGAGCAATATAATCAAGGAAGAGTCACTGAAACTTAATAATCGGCTAACTAATCGATTTTGAAAATAATCGTTAGCTGCAGCTCTACTGGGTTGAGTTAATTCAGTTCTGTGTGTAAATTGTATCTTGTGGTACATGCTTTTTGCAACACACTGCTAAGTATAAAGAATAAAGCATAATGAATGCTACAGCTTCACCTACCTAATAAAAAACAAACCATTCATATTTGTGTTAAAACCCTTGAAATGTATAAAACTAGCCAGAACATTTTTTTTCATTAATAGTGAAGCTGCACCTTAACATACAAACTCTAGGAAATTATTTTTATTAACCCTTGCCCTGCAAGGGTTAACTGCCTGTTTTTGTCTACATGCTAATAAATGTGTTTCCTGGAGATCTTCTTTAAATGGGGAGTGATCTCCACCCCATTGTTTTGGTTTGGAATAGAAGAGATGACCTGTAAAATATCTGGGGGGGGGGGGTTTCCATTTAACGGCCCCCTTATATATTGTTGCTTTGAAAGGGTCAAAACAAGCTCATGGCCACCCAATCACTTTTACGAGACTCAACCCCTCTGCCCCACGATTTCCATACTTTCCCACTACTGAGAGCAGAGGAAAATCTGTTCCCTTATGTCCTGTGCAGAAGGTGAACCTGGAAGCACTCAGTGCTGTTAAAATCCTGACTGGCTAAACAATGGATTGAGCATTGTCTGTGCTTGAGTGGCTGGAACAGAGGGAAGAAGGGACTTAAGTGGTTATTACAACATGATATTTCAACAAAGTGTGGCCGTCACCTATTTTGTTGATAATTACTGTTATCACATTCTAGCTCACTTGTGATGGCAATAAAAAAAAGTATTAAAAATTTGGAAAAATGTATACGCACCCATTTGCTCTGCACACAAACATGTAAATACAAAGGCCTACACATACATTATATGTAAATAATTGTGCAACACATATTGGGTATTGGTGTACATGCCATAGTGAGAGAAGTAATTCTGGATCCCTTATTGACACTTAACGCTTATTGATAATTTTAGGTACCATGATTTTTCGACATTTTGTGTGTACACAGTTGAGGCTTGACATATTTGGTATCTGTTTACTCAACACAACCACATCTTTTATTTGTTTTAAAAATATTGTATTATATATATTCTAATTGTGTGCACTACAGTTCAGAAAATATAAATCTGATATACAGTTGCGTAAATATTGTCCTAGTATTTATTTCTACAGGGCCTCTGGCTTTAGAAAATATATGTTTTGGGGGTTTTAAGAAACTTTCTAGCAAAAACTGAGATTTTTAATGTGTGCAACACGTAGGTGTTTTTTTATTTTAATCTGTATTTATTTTTCAAAAGAATTAGGTCTTTTAAACACAAACGAACAGCTTGCATATGCATACTGTATAGACTAAATTTTTAATTTTTGTATCTCCTCCTAGAAGCCAAACTCTAGATCCCATAAAATGCATGCCAAATAAATGCACCCATGTTTGTTGTCCAATTAGTTGGAGAATTTCCAGCATTGAAACTTAGCATTTTATATTACTTTTTTCTTATTTTTTTATTCTGTACTGATGCTGTTATAATGTTTTATATTTGTCATTATATTTGATATATGTAATTCTGATTTGCTGTAAAAACATACCAAATTACAACATTTCTAAAGATTTATTTCTGTTAGGATGCAAATCTGGGTGCAAGTACATTTGTAAATCATTTAACAGCCTGTTAATCTAATCTCCAAACTCAATCTTTATTAGACATTGAGTTTGTTTTTTGTTTTATTGTGAAGGAATACAATTAAATGATGGCAACATATGAATTAATTTACTTTGCGTATCAGACTATAGAATCCAGGGTATATTTAGAGTTTCAGGAAATGTAAGTATTGTATTGCTGCATGGATAATAATATAATACTAATCTGTTGCAATTAAACCATGGTGGAATATTTCCTAAATAATGTTATATATTTTTTTCTTTTATAGGAGCAGCCAAGGATTTATGCACATGAAGCTCTCGCGTACCAAAGAAAACCAGTATATATTGGGACAGAACAGCCAACCTTTTGACGGTGTTTCAGAAATAATCCATTACTACACCACCCACAAGTTACCAATAAAGGGAGCTGAACATATGTCTTTGTTCTATCCAGTTGCAATCCGGACATTGTAGCACTGAGCTTATGGCAGCTAAAGGAGCATGGATTGTCCTATTTATGGTGTACAGAATGGAACAAAAACACACAATGGTGGTACTTTACGTGAAATTTAAAACTGACTAGTGATGGATGTTTTTTGTTTTACAGTTCTAGTCTAAGTATGATTAATGAAAGTAATCCACTTGAATGGGTACACTGCCTGTTCTTTCATATACAATGATTTGGGGCTATATGCCCCGAAAGTGGCAATACTAAGATGTTCAGCTTAAACTACTTGGTATTTAAAAATACATTTTGTTGGATTTCCATATATACTTTTCTGTACACTAGTTGTCCTAAACCATTACTGACAAGGGAAGTTGTCCTTCGACCGTTACCAACAAGGAAATTTGATCCCTACTTTGCAGTGTGTGTCTGAGTGTATGTACAATATTTCCACACAAAAACTTCAGCAATACTGTATTATCTTGTCAAGATGTAAAAAGGCCAAGCAAACTGAGCAGATTGTGGACTTCAGTTCAGTTTTTGGGGGGGGGCATGGGGAATGCAATAATGACATATACGTTTTTTTTAAAAAGTTTATTTTTCTAGCATTAGATGAAGACTTGTTTGACTTCCTCGGCTTTCCCCCATTAAATACCATTTATCCCTTTTATTTGATTGAATGTTTTAAATTGCAAGTGTGATTAGTATTTTAAACCTGATGCAAATCTACTTTTTGCTTTCCAAAGCCCTTTTTTCTTGTATTAAGGAAAGCTGCAACAATATCTAAAGAGCAGCCAATTAAACGGTTTACAAAATTAGTAATTACTACAATTTTTTGTTAAATGTCTAAAGGTTTCCACAATTAAGCTGAAATTAGTTTTTTTTCATAAATATTTGCTCCATTGTGGAGGATATCCAACTTATTTCCTCAGCTGTTCCAAGCTGAGGAGAGGCTGACTACATCCTCTTTAAATAAGATTATTATACAGGTTGTCAGCTGTGTCTGGAAAAATATAAAAATATCCCCACATAATCACAACACTATCTTCACTTATGATAAGCCTCAGTAAGTTGCCTATATTGTAGATCTCTACATTTTATTAGCTTTTACATTTCAGCCAAATTAGGTTCTTAGGTTTATGTGGTCCTTAAATATTTTAACAATAACATTACCTCCTCCTAACAGAAATTAAAGTTGTGATGGAAAAGATCTGTGCAGTTTACCAGGTAACTGCACTTGCTGATGACTGCTGATATGAACAATTCTTGAACTGAAATGTGTTACTTTAAACCTTAATGCAAAGAGCAAATTCATGGTTACTTTTGTCCTGTTGTGTGGTTGTATTTTTAACAAAGTGTATTGTTGCTAGAGCGAAAGTCATGTTTATTTTTATTTTTTCCATTTGAAAACATTTAATATTCTAATTATCAAAGTCAATTCCCGAACCTGACGATGTTGTCAGTTTTGATTATTCCTTACATTCTGTGAGGTTTAACTAAGGTTACTGTAGAAAGAACATAATTCTAAATCTCCTTATAGATGATTCAATTTACCTGGCAGATTTTAGAGTTTAAGAATATAAAGAAAACCAAGATTTTATAAAAATCTGAAGAAAATAATGATAGGGAAATATCGGTGCCATCGGAATGACATGTTCAGTTTACCATTGTAGAATGTGTCTAACAGGTATGTATGCTAGTACACAGCCTTGATCATTTACATTTTCTGCTGTAGGGTAAACTTCCTTTTCATCTTTTGTACAAAAAAAAACCAAATTTGATTTATGAGCTGCAAAGATCTGATATTAAAAGTTGGATAACCAGTTTTAAGTCACCCAGCTGATATATTTAGTTGCTAAACTTAGAAAGCATGTACAGAATTTGGTGCTAAGCTTATTAACATTGAGCAAAGACCAGATTACTAAAACCTTTAGCTACCAAGCCATAATCAATCTGTTAGACTTGCCTTCATGCTAAATGCTGATTTTGGATTGGCTGCTACTTCGTACTGCACCACATTATTAAAGTGTAACTCCGGTTTTATTGAGGGGAAAAAACAAGGCTTTTATCACACTTTGTTGCAGATTCCCACCTTTTTCTGTTCAGAGGAAAAAGCTGTTTATTTCACTAGACTGATTCCTGAATGGGAGGTTCTGGGAATTCTGTTGCAGGGGATGCCTAAATTCTTACCTGTATCTTAGTGTAGGCTTCAATGAAAATTTGGGAGCCAATCAAGGAAGTAGAAAATCAAATTTCTGGGGCGAATTCCATACACCAACAGTGTACAGAAGCCCTCCTATTGCATTGAATATTTGTAACAACTTTAAAAAATTCCAACAGTTTTAGACTGAAATGGAAAGGTAATTTTTAATGTTAAATTAAAAATGGCTTATGTAGCAGTTTTATATTCTATTTTAATGAATGTGGAGTTTTACTTTAAGTAGAGACAACCATACGCTACTTTATTACCTAGGTAACTAGTTCATAAATCTCTGATAATAACTGGGTGGTATATATGGGTCTCTCTACACAGCTACGCGATTGTTAAATTTTTCTCATAGAAGTGACATTTCTCCATGCACTCTTTAAAGAAAAGTGGCAGTTTTTAATCTGAGGCAAGATCAAATATGTGATTTCTTTCATGTAAAAAAAAGCTGCCCGTTTATGACCATTTAAAATACAATAATCCAAGTAAGGTCTGCCTTTTTTTATTTGTTATAAGCCACAAAGTGTTAACAAAAAGCATTAATGTTTTATTGAAGAAGGAATAGAAATGTAAAGATGTTAGGGCAAAAAAATCTAAAAATGTATACTCTATATTTGTTATTATATTAATAAATTTGATACGTGTACAACTAGTGGCAGTTAGGTTTTGAAATCCCAGTGGCATGCAGATATTGTGTGCACAAAGCTCAAGGTTTACAGGGTGCGGGGTTTTTTTGGTAGTAGGTAAACATCCGTCTAAAAAAGTTTGGTAAAATAAAACGGCAAATTTAACATCCCTCTGTAATCAGGTGTCACAGCCATGTTTTTTTGTTGTCAACCTTTTTTTTGTAAATTATTTAATCCCATTGTTACAATGTCATTATGCTCTGTTTTTGTCTGCCAGGTGAAATGTCTGAGTATATTTACCTTGGGGTTGAAGGAATCTGCTCTTTCCTGCTCTCTTAATGTTTGTGTTACTACTGCTGTTACAATTTTACGTTTGTGAATTTTGCCTTGTTAAATAAATAAATAAATGTCTATTTAATGTAAGCATTTTACTAGTCTTTTTTTATTATATAGCCAGTGAGGAAAGATTGGGAATCCTGGTCAGTCAATTCATTTTGCAAGGGAATGTACATTTTATTATATATAAAAAGGAATGTATTGTACAGTATGACACATACAACAAACATCTGCATACTTGCCTTACCTTCTTTAGTATTTATTGTTCATTTACGGCCTCTCCTTCCATGTTTCAAGGAGAAATCTTAGGTAGAAACAAAGCCGAATAATCCACAAAACAACCTAGATAGGAGCCCGCATGCCACTTTGCACTTGTGGGCAGTTGGCTTCAGATGGGACCATGTCCGTACAGGCAATACCAATGGGGAGGGTCTTCTCCCTCAATGCATTCTCTATCTATGTAAAGCTGAGGGATGGGGGAGACAAAGCTGCTTCCCCTACATAGGGCCCCAGGCTAAGAAGAGGGGTACGTCTGTTAATTCTGGCCCAAAAACCACCTACAACTTCTCATAATGCTATAGGTTGTTACTCTTTTAGTGATCCTGTATGGATCTGGTAGACTCTTGATAGCAAACACTGCTCATAGGAGATTGATACATGGAATCGAAAGTCTCTCAGCTTAGTTTATATGTCTATTCCAGTTATATATCACTGGAGCAGAGGGGCACTTGTTGATCAGGTGGGTGACATATTTGAATAAACTGCCAATTTATTTAGCAGGTTTCCACAGCAGCTCAACTGTTAAAGTTTTCTGCCTTGACACATATTGCATCATTAAGCAATACATTTGACATGAAAAAAAAGTAATGTGCTTATTGTATGCTTAGACGTAGGTTGGATTAGAAATTTCTGACTCCTGACCCTATGCAGTTCTCTCATCAAACTAGATTGACTTCACGGGTTGGCAGACTCCTAGAGAATCCACTACCACTTCCAAGTGAAAGGGATTCACTTCCACAGGGATTGTAATTATATATGTAGAGGTCGATGGAAAGTAATGGGAAACAGTTTTTTTTCAAAATGTAGTGTACTTTCTTTTGTTATATAGTAAAAAATAAAAACCCCAGTGGTGATCAAATGCCACCAAAAGAAAGCTCTATCTGTCCCCAAAATATGGTATAAAATTTGTTTCAGTACAGCGTTGTATGATGAAATAAATGTCAGTCAAATTACCGCAGAGCTGAATACTGAAAAATGGCCTGGCCAGGAAGGGGGTTTAACACCCTGGTCTTCAAGTGGTTAATCTGGAGGTTAAGAGATCCCTTTCTGGCTCCCCCCTCATCCGTGTTAGTTTATATGGAAACAAAGTACAGGGCGACTTTGGTAAACACCTGGGGCTCTGAGGATGGGCCAAATAAAGGGCTACAGGCTGGTGGTATTAAGCACCAACAGCATAGCAGAGGTAAGTTTGGTGTGGTGAAAAATGGGAAACACTTTGGAAAGTGAGGACATCCCTTCATGCAGAAGACTTGGCTGCAGGCTTGGACTAGGGGATTTTGAGTGCTTGGGGTTTTACTGGGTTCCTGGTTTAAGTTTGGATTTGGGGCTGTACACCTGAGAGGAACAAGAGGAAGTCTTTGTCACCTCCAAAGAGAGATTGGAGGCTTTCCATGGGGAGGCCTAGGCTTCGTTTTGCTGTGGTCAGTGAGTGCTCTCACTGCGACATTCTTGATTAAATTATTGTGTCAAAAAGCATGCAAAGCAAGCACTTTTTACATGCTTGTTTCACAGACCAGCACTTTATCCAAATGTAGCTTTGCATATTTTCGGAGAGGACACTCATTTTAGAAATGAAATGAACCGAGTCAACCAAGCCATCTATACAATAGCACAGGGTGGAAGGCATAAGCTGTAAACATTCCAACACCAGAGCATCTCTGGGAATAGCAGCAGCATTTTGAGAAATAAATTTAGGCCAGTCGCCCAAGGTTTGAAAGATTGACATCACGGCAATGGTAGGCTGTATTGCGAGCCCTTTTAGGGAAAACAGGGAATTGGAGCTTCCAACATTTGTCAGAAGAATCTTTAAACACTGGGGCATCCACAATATGAATAGTAAGC